TGCAATATTGTCCCTCAGTTTGTTTCAACCCCGTCACGCCATATCATTTACCCTCCTATTAAAATAATGGATCAGTCCGTGTGTGGATCAGTCCGTGTGTGGATCAGTCCGTGTGTGGATCAGTCCGTGTGTGGATCAGTCCGTGTGTGGATCAGTCCGTGTGTGGATCAGTCCGTGTGTGGATCAGTCCGTGTGTGGATCAGTCCGTGAGTGGATCAGTCCGTGTGTGGATCAGTCCGTGTGTGATCTGCATTGAGGGAATTACATCACAAAAGTGTCCGTTTCTTCTCTTACCTATATTTCAGATTAAGATTGACAAGCTCAACATTTCAACTCTGTTGTATGAATTAATAATAGTAAATAATTGTTTATTACAAAAATAAACAATAGTTTTGCAAAATATTACAATGTGGTGCCATATCTTAGCTAAACAAGGTCTCATGCCTACTTTTTGTCAAAAACTTCAACCATGTTACATTTTTTCAAGGAAATTCCTAGTAATTATTTATATGTTGTGCCTGAGGTGGAACATGTAAGTAGTCCAATACCAGATGTTATGACCAAACATTTTGGTTTCATTTTTCAAAGATGTAAAGACCCAAAAGGCACCCGATTCAGAGAATACTCTAATTCTGCATACTGTAAGTACTTAATTATAATTAAGTACACAAATGACATCACCCATCTCTTCAGAGAGCTGAAGGTGACCTGTGCAGCAACACATTTCAATCAATATTAGTCAATACTAAGAGCTGCTAGATTGAGCTGCTGTGATGGAATATGTAAGGAGAATAAGAACATACCATGTGGTCCAGCTGGAGTTTCATCTGCCTCCTGATCCCTGCCTCTGGCCCTCTTTCTGACACTTCATCTTTATTCCTCACATATATTTCTTCTTCTTCACTAATGTCTTCATCTCCTCCTCTTCCTCCTGCTCTGAGCCTCCTGGTCTCTTCATCTCTCTTTTCTTTTTCCTCTTTCTGTTCGTCCTGATCAATTCTCATATGTCTTTTTGTTGTTGTTGAATCACTCCTATACTCTGGCCTGCAAGAGTCTACTTGTGAAAAGTACTGGTACAAATGCTTGTATAACTTTACGCGTTAGGGCCATGTAGCCTAGCTAATATGTAGCATATCATAAATATAACATCAGAAAGTATTGATCAAGCGCACACAGGCAGCTGTGTTTGGATCCAGTTTTTACAGTAATGGATGTATCCTGGTTTCATTGATCTGGCCTCATGGCTGTGATGTGTAGTTTACGTGGATGTAATAGTAGGCTACCGCGTAGTTTAGCAAAGTGATCGATCTCCCAGCTAACGCTGTCTGCGTAGTATTTTGTAACGTAACGTCCCAAACAGCGCCCGTCTGTTAAACGCTATCGATTCAAACGGCAGCGTTTTATTAATATTTAGTTTCAAGCTCTCGTCCTTAGTAAAAACAAAACTAGTGGAAAGGGAAATGCTCCCAGGGGAAGCTGATCCATAGGTGCTGGGACAGCTCGCTCCCTCTCTGCAGAGGTGTGAGCCGCGGTCTGTGTGAACGCCGCTCCGCAGTTTAATGCAGGGCCGTAGCTGCGTTTTTAACGGGCCTAAAATGATATTTAAAATGATTCAATTTGAACTAATGTAATGCTTGTTTTGTTGCTTGAGAAGCTTGTGGAAATAGTGTAGGTTTGTTTTAGTACAGTTTTAGGGAAACAAAAGTTAGGGGGGCAGCTGGGGGGGCAAGGCTCTACAGTGGGGGGGGGGCAGCTGCCCCCCTTGCCCCCCCCGTAGATCCGCCCCTGAGCCTGCGTCTAAAATGGACAACATTGTTAGGAGATTTAAACCACAGCGATTCTGCACTGCGGTCACTCCGCCGGCTCTCCACTTTGTCTTTTCAAATCAGCTATATTTGATGAGTGATACAAATATGTTTTACCACAAGTTCTTAATAAAACTGATACTGTTGGACTCGGTACTAGTTTGACTGCTACCAGAAATAAAATGAAGTACTTTTACTACTGTGTACTTTATGAGTATTCCTCTGTCAAAGTCCCCTCCAGACATAATGCATGTGTTCTGCTGTCTTTGATGAGAAGTGCAACTCAACATCTGGCTCCGGTCCAGCAGGTGGAGACAGGGAGCCTAGGGTCTGTGGTTCCACTGAGACCTCATTCACACCATCAGGGCCGGTTCGGAGCTGGAGCTTGAAAAGCACCGGGTTTTCCTGTTCACACCGCAGCGGAGCATCCTCTTAGCTCCGGAATCCGGTTCGTTGCAAGCACCAAAAAAATTGTCCGGCCAGAGCAAAAGCACCGCATACATCACGCTTACGTCGAGGCGGGGGCAGGGGCGGGATCAACTCCTGAACAACAACAATAAGCCGGCGTTGTATCCAGTTTGTACACAACGATGGAGAAACGTAACAAGCAGCAGTGGTCCACTGAAGAGACCAGCTACCTGCTGGGAATCTGGTCTTCTGAAGAGGTGCAGAGGAAGCTGGAGCACAATCGGCCATTGTTGTTGTTGTTGTTGTCGGTGTCAGCTGTGAGGGTTTCCACACGGTTTGGCTTTATGAAGCAGGCACGCAAACGGTTACGTCATGACGCAAACGATGACGCAATGACGCAGCACCAGTCGGACTCTGGGCGGTGTGAAAAGAGCCGGAGCTAAACCGAAGAACCGGTTCTGAACCTGAAAAGCTCTAGCACGGAACTTGAACTGGAGTTGCGTTGGTGTGAATGAGGTATGAGAGGTGGCTCAAAGGAAGAGTGAGGCTCCTATTTAATGAGCTAAATGCAACACACTCTCAGCAGAGGACAAACAGCGTGCTGTGAGAGAGGAGAGGAGAGGAGAGGAGAGGAGAGGAGAGGAGAGGAGAGGAGAGGAGAGGAGAGGAGAGTCTGGTTGAACCATGTTTGATTACATGTATTAGAAGCTAACATAAGATGCTGGAATATAATTTACTTTGTTGAGATGCAGTTACTTTTGATTAGATGTTAAGTTTAATTGTAACTTGATTATGGAGCAGGAAATAAAGTGCTTGTTAAAGGATGGCATGTTTTTTATTGAAATGTTTATTTGCAAAAAATGAATGAAAATATGTTTTGTGTTGAAGGTTTTCAAGCTAAACGACTAAATGAGCATCAAGAGGCTGACGAAGCAACAAGGAATCTGCATCACTCCAACGAAGAGGAAGGAGTCAATCAAACAAACCCAATCACAACTTGACAATAACTTCTTATTGATACTGTTTGACTTTATTAGTTAGCCTACTACTAACAATACATTGAAGTACTTTTACTGTGTACTTTGTGAGTAATCCTCCGTCAGAGTCCCCTCCAGACATAATGCATGTTTTCTGCTGTCTTTGATGAGGGATAGAAAGACCATGTTGCCATTAGTTCTTAATGATACTGCTGGACTCAGTAGTCTTACACCTACTACCACAATACAAAGACGTACTTCTAGTGCGTTGTTTGAAGAAACAAATCCTCTGTCAAAGTTCCCCCTGCTGAGAACAAAATCAAGCCACTTCTGCTGAGTTTGATGAGGGAAAAAATTATTTTTGCCATTAGTTCTTCGTGAGATTGATCCTGTTGGACTCAGTACTAGTGAGACTACGCCCACAAGTACTATGGAGTACTTACTGTTGAGTACTCCTCTGTCAGAGTCCCCTCCTGACAACAAGAATGCATGTTTCTCTGCTATTTTGAATAAGTAGACCCTCCAGAAAAACGCGGGCTAAAATCCTTGACTATGCGATCAAACATGCGGGGTTTTATGACACACACACACACACACACACACACACACACACACACACACACACACACACACACACACACACACACACACACACACACACACACACACACACACACACCACACACACACACACACACACACACACACACACACACACACACACACACACACACACACACACACCCTGAGTAGCTTCAGATCTGAGTTGTCTTATTGGTAAGCCTCATTTATACTTTTGTAGCAACACTATTTTTATATAATGGCAAAGAAAGGGTTCAGAGTCTTTTCTTTTTTCCCTGTGTCATATGTGGCAGCACTGTTCAATGCTTCTTGAAAACATGACCCACTGTAGTGACGTGTGAATAAACTCCAACTCTGTATCAACAACACTGTTGTGTAACTTCAGTTAAATACTTGTGTAGATTAGAAAGGAGGTAAGATAAAGGATCTGCAGTATTTTATGAAGTATTAATCGTACAAAGGTCAGTTTTATTCAAGTAGAAGTGTGTATTTACCTGGTAGGAGGCTGTCAGTAACGCCTCTCTATTTGGACTGGTAGATCTCGGCAGACTGGCAACTTTAAAAGTAGCTCTCGGTTCAAAAAAGGTTGGGCACCCCTGCTCTACGGTGTTGTTTCATGGATGTATAATAAGTGTTGTTTACCTTCTGTGATGCGCGAGCTGATGACGTCCCGCCATCATCACTTCACGTCAAGACGAGTTCACTGTTTTTTCAACTTTGTGTGGAAAAATGCGGGGATTATGCGCCTTTTGATAAATATGCGGCCTTTTAAAAATCTGCGCCATTTTGCGATAAATTCTGCGATCGCAGAATCGCGTTTTTCTGGAGGGTCTAAATAAGCGTTAAAACACCTTTCTTCGTGAGACTGATATTGTTGGACAGAGTGTTTTGAGAGGATGGTGGACTTGATATCAGCAATACTTCCAGTCAGTACTCCGGCAGCAGCATTTTACCCCTTGGGAAGTCTTTAGAGTCTGGCCTGATAGTCTGCCCTTCAGCACACTGACACCCTGTCACCCTGGTTGGCCTCTTATGAAGCTGCTGTCTTTTAAATAGGATTATTTCTCTGCTCCAGTTCATTCCTCTCAGATCCTTCCATCACTCCGAGTCATCGCGTGTCAGTCAATAGAGCTTCGAAAAATGTGTCCAATTCCGAGATAAAAGATTGAATATGACGAGCCATATGATGCTCTCATTGGTTAGTGACATTCCACATGCAAATACTCACAACATTAGGCTGAGGTTTATCCTGAGACAAGTCCATCGGCAGGTCATCTTCCTCTCTTGTAGAAGCCGTTGTGCTTCTTGTTGCTTCCGGCTAAAACAAACAGACATTTTGAGTGTTTAAAATGTGCTGTAATACACAACACATTATTTATTCCTGAACTTGCAGAAAGAAAAACTAAAGTGTGACATTTAATCACATATTTATATATCGATCTTATACACCTTGAATTCGTGTTGGCCAATGATACACATACCCTTTGAAGATGAGCTGGGAAGTTGAATACTGTTGGCACAACACCATCTCTGAGCCGGACAGTCTGCCCCGTCCTGTCAAAGTCCTCACTCCTGAAGTGCTCACTGCAGAGCAGCGTCCTGCCAGAGGCGACAAAGCCGTCCCTTCTGAGGGCGACTTCCCACTGCCGCCTCCTCTCTCCGCTTTTGGGAAACCTTAAAAACATGAGAAAGGTGGCCAGATATATAAATCATTGTCAACATTTTCCGCCCTTCTTTCCTTTAACATCAAGGGTAAGGACAAAAATACACGCCTAAAATATCATATTTCTGGGGTAATTGTATGTCTGTATGCATGTATGTATGTATGTATGCATGTAATGTATGTATGCATGTAATGTATTAATGCAAACTTTTCTGTGTAGCAGGACTTGTATTGCACATCCACTAGTAACTAACGAGTATCCTAATTATTGTCATATCTTACAGGTGAAAGGTGATCCCACGGGTTCTTGTTTCCAGGCTGCGGCGGTTAGAGCATCCGTAGGCAGCACAAAAGTCAGGCATAGTCAGGTACTTCTGTAAACACAAAGCCAGCCATTTCCTGTATCATAATGTTTGTAAGTGTAAGATGTTTTTAACAAGCCAAACCGCTTGGAAGAAACCATGTGCAAAGAGCAGCTGTGCCTCTTCCGCACTGGTGTGAAGTTGCTGGGTCAACTTTGTAATACTATGGGCGCGTTTCACTTCGGTTAAATGGATTCCTTGCGTCCCTCACTTGCGTCGTTTCCCTGCGTCTAGTCCCTCCCACCAAGGAAGCAAGGAGAGACGCAAGGAAACCACGAGAAGCAGGAAATGAGTTTTAAGAGCAATGGGACGTCCTTTCCTCCGGAGCGTCACGTGAAGCGACGCCGCACAGCTGATCGTCTGACAGCAGCTCTGTCCCCGTTGTTTCCACACACCCCGCCTCTGTTAGTACACATTTACTGACACACACATTAGTATCATCTGTTGTAGACCCAAATAAATAAAATAAGAACTCACTCTCAAAAAAGATAAACGCCATTCTTAAAATGTATAAACGAAAAAAGCGATCATGAAAATGTCTCTAATAAATGAATAAAACATTTTTTGACCACTTTGTTGTTCAGATATATCCAGTACTCGAGTTGAGGGGGGATGAGGGGGGATGGCATCCCCCCTGAAATAAGGTCAAAATCATCCCCCTTCTAAAACTGCCATTCTCCCTTTCCATCCCTTATGTAATTGTATCAATGAACGTGGCACTGGTATTAGGCCTACTGCTATTTCAACATTCATTTTGCGCATTTTGAGTAAAATACTGTGAGCGAGGGAGCTCGCACACACGCAATGACATTTTTACCAAGTCACTGACGCTATACCATGCGAGTGCCCTAGAGGGCGCCGTGATGCGCCTGTTTGATCGATAGAAGCGCAGGTAACGGTCATCACAATGGCCAAGCGACCAGGAGGACAACGCGATCTGAGGGACTTCATATTTAAAAATACTAAAAATAACATTTCAGGTAAGTCGAGAGTCATTAATCTTAGTCATTACTCAATCTATGGACATAAACAGCAATAACAACTTAGTTTGGAGTTTAGCTACGTGTTTCTCTCGTGTTAGCTAGCTGGTCAGACTCAAAACTGTTGATGAAATGATACCACCAGCACCAGAAGGGCTGAAACCCCTCCTTCAAGCAGTGAACACTCTGGGCATCTCCACAGCTGAGTGTGAACGTGGGTTTAGTCAGATGAACATTTTAACCACAACTAGAAGTACCCTAGAGGTAAAAAGCATGTCAGCCTTGCTTTTCATCAAGTGTGTTGGCCCTCCACTGAACAAGTTCAGACCAGAGTTATGTCAAGACTTGGCTTCAAAGCCATTGCTTAGCTAACAATCCGAAAGCAAGAGCCAGAAAAATTGAGACCAAAAAGCATGATTAGAAAATCTTTGGAAACTTTCTATGAGATGGGGGAGAGTGGGGAGACTGGGGGAGAGTGGAGCATGGGGGAGAGTGGAGATAGGGGAGAGTGGAGATGGGGGAGAGGGAGATGGGGGAGATGGAGATGGGGGGAGAGTGGAGATTGTGGATAGTTGTATACGGGGGAAATTGTGAGATGGTGGAGAGTGGAAGATGGGGGAGAGTG